CAGCCTCCACTGGGAAAGGGGTTTTAAAGCATTTGGTTAAAACAAACAAACCAAAAAAACTTGTTTTAAGTTGGGATATTAATAAAATATCTTCAATTAGAGGACAAACAAAAAAATTATATAGTCAACCTAAGTGCTACAGCAGAAACAAAATTTCTTAAAATAAGATCTAGGTTGAAATATTTCAATCAGCTTGATCTTACATGGGCACAATTGAGAGCCACTGACTTTGCATCATGTTTCTGTACTACAATCTGAATTCCCTGCAGAAGTAAGACAATGTACATACAGTGACCCACTAGCAAATACTGTTTGAAAATTAATATTGTCTGCTGCTTAGTTAATGAGTAGTGGCAAAATCAGATGACAAAATACAGTATGCACAGTGCTAGGTCTTTACCAAAATGTGCCATAGTTAAGCACACAGGTGCAGGTGCCTGAGTGCCTGGGTTTAAACCCTGGCTTTACCTCCTTCCCTATGTGTCCTGGAGCAACTTATGTAACCTATTAGTGCCTCAGTTTCTCCCTTGTAAATTCCACCTTGAGAATTTTAAAAGTTCAGGTGTATGCTGAGTTGTATAGAGGACTGGGCACTTATTTTTGCCAGGGGTCAGTAAATGGTAATGACGATAGTATCCCCAATCATTCCTGGGTTGTCAAAACCATGGTATTTTTATATCAGAGGGAGGTTTCCTTCTTTCTCATTTAACACAATTTTCAAATGTAGTTATTTGAGACCATTTCTTGGGCATAAAATAAATTTAAGAAAACATTAGTTTTGGTGGCTCAGAAGTTTTAATATCTAGTCTAGAACAAGAGCCCCAAATATTAAAAATATTATTAAGAAATAATTCTTTCAGGGAAAAAATATGAGAATTATAAATTCTATGTATTTTAGACATATATACCCAATTAAAAAATGAGAAGCAATTAAATAAAATACAGGGACCAAGTAGCTACCCAGATCTGATTCAGCTGGTATAAAGTGGGGTTCAGAGTTAGTACTTCTCTAAGTTTAGCGTAAATATCATAACCAGAAACTTCTTAGGAACAGAGCCTTACCTAATAGAACATTTCTAATTCCATTTGAAAACCAAATTTCACAGGATTCTGGGCATGAGGACCATACGTGGTTGCAGGATTTTAGGGTTTCTAGTTGTCCTTTAACCTCTCACATAAGGGGACACACCTACCACCCTACCTTTTCTGTTTTTGTCTGTCCCTTTCCTTTTTTGAAGAAGAACCCAAATGCTGTCCTTTCTCCAACTCTTCACCCGCTGCTTTTAATACTCTTCCCTGCACAGAGGTGGGCAGCCTGGCGATGAGGGGGGCCACCAACCACACGCCCCTGCGTTCAGAGGAACTAAAATCAGAAACAGATGTTACACCCACGAAAGCCTCCTTTCTCCTTTATATCTGCTCCCAGAGTTATAACGGAACTCCGGAACTGAACTTTGATGCACAAGATCTGAGCTTATGGAAAGGAATAACGGGCGTGGTTCTGGGAGGACACCATAGCTGGACTAGTTTTTAGTGTTTTTCTATAATTCAGGCTCTCTGATTAGTAATAATCTTTTTGTCCTATAAACAATACACTTTTCTGTTACGGTTACAATATGAACTATGTTATGTTAAAACACACATTAAGAACCAATTTTTTAAGTTTTAAAATTATCTATATTTTATACCAAAATGATAAAATTCTTATCTGTCTTTAAAAAGTTACTTTAAGACTTCATATACCTACAGGTTCTAATGCTGTTATCATGATATATCTATGCAAAATTGCCAATTCCTAAAAATGGCAGAAAAGTGTTTTCCATGTAATGAACACAGTGGAACACAGTAGATTAGGGGACACTAAAGACATGAATCAATCTGAACTCTTGTGTGGTTCCAATGTGTCTGCGTCTACTTAACCAAATACTCAGAATAAGACGTCACCCACCCCGAGCTTCACCCTTTAACTTACAAGTCATTATTTACTTCACACCCCTGCAGCTTAATGACAAAATAACTACATGACACAGACAAAATCAATTGATAATGAGAAAAATTAATGACAGCCCATTAAAATTACAGAAAGAAAATACCTTAGGAATGTCTTTATTCCATTCTGTCTCGTGCTACTGGTGTCAGCATTTGTAATGCCGCTGGGGTTGAAGAGGCTCATGCCAGAATTCGAGGAATTATTATTCAGGTCTGCAGACTGCTGGAATACCTCTATTGTGGCTTTTGCAATATTGTCCAGTAAGTTGTTCATTTCAGCCACAGAACCAGAGCCCTAGAGTTAGACACAACAGAAACTAGCACGCTTATGTATTTTTTTTATCTTCAAACCTGTGTTTTTGCTTTGCATAAAATTTCATACACACTTCCCAGATATACTCACAGGGTCCTTCAAGCACTGTTTGATCATTAGCTGGAGTTCTAACCAGGACTGTCTCAGTGTCCACTGTTCAAGATTCTGAGAAAAGGGGAAAGAATTAAAACACGAGGAATATCGAACCTATGTTAAAATATAATTCCTTGCAGTATTCCCACTCCCCAGAAACAGGAGAACGATCATACGTAATAAAGGAATTTATGTGGATCATATATTCAATATAGACAAAAAGAAATAAATAGCAACATTATAATAATGTGCTGACCCAGCCAGGCACTGGAAATGAGATGAGCATTTCTCCACTCACAATCTAGTTGTATAGTCAATCCAATCCCCAAATGATTCCAATGATACTTGAATAATACACTGAATACATAATACATAATACATTGAATACATCTGGCCAATAAAATTAATTTCTCACGTAAATATACTACTAACTTAAAATATTGAAATTTATCTGATAATTACATGCAATTGGCAGCATATATATCTATCCAGCAATAAAGTATGGCAATTCCACAGAAAAAGAAATTGGGAAAATAAAAATCGGAATTGAACTCTGAAATTGCTTAGCAATGACAAAGAAAGAGAGAGAGTAACTCCTCTTATAATCACAAAGAACGTGCCAAATGATAGAGGCCGATGTTGAGAATATGCCACGTACCTGAAGAATGCGCTTAATGTGCTGTCTCTGCAGATTGTCCCCCTCTGTACATTCTTTGATGCCATGAGGATAACAGATGAGCTGTAGCAGTTTCTGTGCTTGCATGTTCGATAGCACAGGGTCTAATATTAGTTCCTTGTCCGTACAAAGTCTTTCAGGTTCTTTTAAGCAATGCTCTCCTACCCATTCCTAGAAAGAAGACAGCCATTAGATGGCCAGGAGTATGTTGGCATATGCAGAATATTCCATAGAAAGAGCAGCGCGAGGAAAGGAATCTAAACTCAATGCAAAGAACAAAGGAACCCAATTCTATTTTTTTAAAAAAAGAGCATATTCACACTACAGAGGACAGTTCAAATAACTTCTGAACACATATGATAAACACTTATAAAAAAAGGAACTGCAAACAACTCCTTTCAGTAGTTTATTTTTCCTAGAGGTACATGTGTAACAATTCTAAAGCTATTCCAAGTGTATTATAGAATTAAACAAACAGGTAAATGGGTTGATGTCACTGGGAATCAGGGTCCTTACTATGAAAGAAGGTGACATTAATGTGGAACAGAGGAAAAAGTAAAGAACCACTTTGTGGGGTTGGATTGGAATTGAAGGCATCGTTATGAGCTCATAATTCTATACACACACAAAAAAAAAAAACCCTAAAATGTACATACATATTTTTTTCTAGCTCTGTAAGCTAAAAGATCCTGGTAATAATAATACCACATAGCTATAAGCACACATAATAGCCTAGAAAGTGGTTTCTAATTACCATTCTCTACTAAATACAACCAGGGTTCCTTATAGGAATGGGTGATTCTAGGCCTGCAGCAGAGAAAATACAAGATGAGCCAAAAAAATAAGAAAATAATAAAAAAGGATGGGACCATGTCAAATGATGCAAGATACAGGAGGAGGAAAAGACTTGGCTAGACACATCTGAGACAATTGGAACATGAAGATAATTAATGATATCATCTTAAAACCCATACAGGATAATACATACATAAATACAGGAGAAGCGTAGGCTTTTGCTCAAAATAATAAAAACTGGTATCGTGGAGGGAGAGGTGGAGTTTTGGAAAAAAATACCACCATTTTGCAGTCATCACAACAAAGACTAGTTTGAAAAAGAACCAAGTGCATGCTTATAAGCATACAGAAATTTGATGAAGAGCAGGAAATCTGCAGGCTCAGAATACCTTGCCAAAAATTGCTTATTAATTGTGAGAGGAAAAATCGTAACTCTCCAGTAGGAAAACCTTGAAACTATACAATGGAGACAGTTTGCTCAAAATTAACATTACCAATGAGAGACAAAAGGACCCCAGGTAACTTCAGATGAATCAGGCAACCGGATTTTGCAGTATCTTGGCTAGGGGGGATGCACAACAGTAAGCTTGTCTACAGACACCTCAGACAAATCCAATGCCATTAAAACAACAAAACAGGGCTCGGCGCCTATAGCTCAACCAGCTAAGGCGCCAGCCACGTACACCTAAGGTGGCGGGTTCAAATCCCCAGCCCGGACCTGCCAAACAACAATGACGGCTGCAACCAAAAAATAGCC